AACAGCAGGGGTAACAGCTCTACAGCAGATAATATCTTTTGTGAACATTTATTTATAGTGCGATAACAGAACAGTATTTAAGTAGCATAGCTCTCGCTGTAATACCCCAGCTTCGAGCTAAAGTTTTACTTTCACCATCTTATCTCGAGCAAACTGCAAATGCCTTGACAACACAACACTAGTCACACACAAGTGGACTCTGACAGTATAACCCGAAGTGTGAGGTTCTGTCAGTTTATCACATGTCACTGGTCATGTGGAATTTGGGCTTAACACCTCATCTGTTCAACAATAGAGAGATGGTTCTGAAGCCCATTTCAGGCTTTCCCAAAGACAAGATTTCATCTTCTGAGAACAAGCCTGTTGTAAGTAGAGAGCAGAGTAATGTACAGAGGATTAGAATTAGCCTTTCGAGAGAGAGATGTTCTACTTAAATACATTTTGTATTACTTTGAGATCTTTCTACAAAATACTAAATAAGTCTGGATTATGATCCAAGTCAGTTGCTGCTGATTGGTATCATATCTTCGAGTACATTATTGTACTCACTCAGGATTGCTATCCCAACAAAGCCCTCTTGTCCACTGATGGCAAGAGATACATTCTCATTGGTACAACAGCCTTACTCCATTTTGGTGGGAGAAAATCATGCTGGTGATGCCCCTTCCTTTGTTTAGACATGAAATCTCCATCTCTTGCCACAGAATATGAAGATGAACTGGACTCCAATTCCAGCTGCAAGTCAGATATGACCTTGGAAGATGAGACATCCATGGCTAAATTTCCTGCAAGAAATAGTGAGGTGAACTTCTTTATTGGCCTCAGAAATGCAAACTCATTATAACAACAGATCTTGAATCTCTCCACAACAATTAATGAATATCTGTTGAAGAAGGTAAACTGCATTATACTGTCAAGAGAGCTCATTAACTCATTTTTTTTCAGGATCCTGCCCCTGACATTGTGATTACACATGATGAAGGAGGCGACAGAAGGGATACTATTTTCTTCTTTTTTTGCTTCTGGTTCGAAGTTAAATGCATCTCAGCAGACAAATGATGCACCACAGGTCTGGGCTTCAAAGTACAATACTGAAAGAGTGTCCTTGCCGAAATTGAAGGAGTACATCCCAGGTGTGCATCTGCTTTCCCACTTAATTAAATTGACCATGGTTCTTTTGTATCGTCTCTTGCTGCTGTCGGGCTTACAAACCCTCTCCCGATAACAACAACTTCGATGGCAAACAAGTACTGGTGTATTGACCAGTCCATTTCCTATAGTAATACAACTGCCATTTTCTCATCAGCTGCTGGTATCGTTGACACTGGTGAATGCAATGATATACTTATGGTCTATCCATGTTTTGATGATCAGATATATATATGGACAACCCTGGTACACCTCGCTTCCGATGCATTTGAGAAATACAACTGGCAGTCAGCCACCTGGGCCGGAGCAATAATGGACAGTGCTACAGGTCTTCTTCATACCACCTCATCCCAATACTCCAATCTTTCCAGTCTCTACTTTCATATCAACAGCATTGGTATTGCTTGACTCTGATCTGATACGCATTGAAATTTGCCTGTAGGTAACTAATGAGCTGATGCCGAATGCTCAAATCTGGCCTCATTGGCTATTGGAGGGGACACCAGTGGCATCTATCTCATTGTTAATGAACTTGGACGAGATATTCCTCAAGACCTCGAATTCATCAGCGGTTATACTTTCTTGGAGAGATTCTACACCTGTATCATATGGAGAACTCGAGAGTTGGGTTTGCTACGACTGCGTACACTCATTCTGAGACAAATTAGATACTCATATCCGAATTAGTTACTAGTACTAGGTTGATATTATGTAGAAAGTTTTGTACTTGTGAAAGACCGTATAAAATGTATGAGGATATGATCAACGGCGAAACATACTAAACTTCGACAATTACCATAGTAAAAAAGAGACATGTTCAGAAGTCGTGTACAAATACTGCGAAAGCATGATTCGGAGAGTAAATGTGATACATATAGTGAAGGGTATTGCATTAGTTATAGGTCGTCAGTCGAGTTAAATGTACGTCGCATCATTAACACTGGCAATGGGATTGATATCAAACATGTCCGAACTGTGGTGCTCGCCATAGGGAGGAAAGGCCTGAAATAAGTCTGCCATTGGCGCTGTGATAATAGCTGGAAACGGGTCAAGGCTTTCAGCTGTGGCCGCAAACCAAAAGTGGCTAATATCCACATCCGCCTTGACTCCGAATTGAGGATCGATGTGGGCATAATTGAGGAGCTGTGGGAGGTGGTTGGCCTAAAGGTAGGGAATTAGTAAAAAACTATTGTGGCGGAAAAAAGAATCGACAGACCATTTCTAGGTTGGGAGCATCTAGGACGAGTGATGGAACGTTGCAGCCTGAGGTGGGGATGAGAATTTCTTCCTCACTGCAGATGAACTCTTCTTGACACCCAGAAGCAGAAAACTGGAGCATCGAGATAGCGATTTGGTCTCTGTTGGTGATAGCTGAGGGAGAAGGGGCCTCGCGCATAGTATCATTCATCTCCACTGCCCTCTCCAGCTTCACCCCATTAATTCCCCCTCCGATCAACATTTCGAACCTGGCACCCTCTATGATATGAGGATATGGATCTACTCTCTTCCTCGTCTTTTTCTTTCGCGGCACTGGCTTAAATTTGTAGTTGGGATACTTCGCACGGTGATCCTTCTTGGCATCATCAGCCAAGTCTCGGTAAACTTGCTGCTCTTCAGACGACAAGGCTTTCCAGAGTTCACCGCAGGTGCGACTAATCTCGTGGTGGTCACATTCGGGTATAGTATCTTTGTTGTTGCGCCAGTAGTGGGAGCGGAGTATTGTTATTGAACAATGAGTAGTAGGCACAACAATAGAATAATAGTTATCTGTAGGGCTAAAGCATTCCTGAACAGTATTTAAGTCAGTAGTTTACAATGATGTACTCTAGTCTTGAGCTAAAATTAATTCATACTGATGAGACACTTAGGCTCTCAGTGCAGCTATTGCCTCAGTTCTTATGCTGGCAGCTGTAGTCTATCAACCTCTCTATCTCATTCCACTTATTATCATCACACATCTTATCATCAGTTAGTATCAGACTCTAGTAGTTGCAGTGCCAAGCATTTGTGATTGTTTGGTTATTGTCTGACAATAATGGGATATATAGAGTGCAAAGGACTAGCAATGTCACTTCTGAGCTGAAGCCTTAAGAAGAATCACAGACAGAAATCTTTAGGGTAACATGAAAGGAGAGAAGTCTGATAGAGCTGGAATTTCATAGATGACAGATTGACTGAAGGGTCAAGAGTTATTGGGCTGAACCAAGTTGATATTCAAACTGAGGTAGTACAAGATATTCTATGGCTTATATACTTAGAGGCTGGTCTGAGTTAGAGTCTAATGGAATCTAATAAGTAATCTCTTTACTACTGTTTTGGTTTCTGAGTTGAAAATAGAATGATAAATAAAATATAGTTTAAAATAAGAAAATGAAATTGGAGTTAGTATGCTACAGAGTTCCACAAATATAATGAACTTGAAGAAAAGAGAAATACTCAGTATTCCTTTATTGTGTGAAAACTCTTAAGTTGGTCTGTATAACAGAGGTTTGTGGTATATGCATTACAGCAGGAAATAAACTACACAACAGGCTTGGTGCAGCACTGATATGTTGACATTCCATCAATAATAATGACAAGTTTTAGAGATTTTTCTAAAGAAAAGTTGAAGAACATCCTGATCAACATAAGGAGTCAAGGATATCACTGGGGGAAGAAATGTCCCTGATTAACAGGGGACTTGACATTCGGTGCAGTAAGATGGAAACACGTTGGGATCATCTCCAGAAAGTCAAAAACAGGCGTGTATTTAGCGTAGCATTCGGATACGGGGAATTGAACCCCGAGCTACCGCGCACATTCACAACACTCTCGGATGAAAGGCAGTAATGTTGGCCATTACACCATATCCGATGTAATGAATATGTCACTGATATATCCTAACATAATGGACTGATCGTATTTCACTGTAAAAAAAGTTCAGCGACTCCACAGTGAAACTAAATATTCGGCGCTGCCATATCCTTCAGTTTCAGATCGATTAATCGGTGAAATGACGCTCCGTTAGTGAGGTAAACAGGGGAAGGATCCGCAGCAAATATTAATATTACGATCCACGCTCTAATCATAGCCACAATAGGCCGCCGCCAACTGATCCCGGTATGCATATTTTTTGTTCCCTGGGAGAAGACGCGTACGGTGATATGAGGGCAGGTAGAGAGGTGCGTTTCGGCGGAGATGGAGGGCGGTGACGGTGGCTCGCCTTCCTTCGGTTAAACGCTCGCCGGCCCGGGCTCTGCAGGTTTGAGTTGATCGTCCGTACCTAGGATGCGGACATCGAAAGGCTAAATCACGCCTAAGCAGATATTCAGTTAGTGATAGACCGTGGCGTTTAAACTTGCTGTAAAGAGATTTCCCCAGCATGGAGAGTATTTCCTAACGTGAGCGCTATTCAGCGAGGTATTGGTACCGTTCGCATCACAACCAGTGACATCTCGCTGATATCAAGTTTTTAGGATGTGCAAAACCCCTTCGCCATTACGCCAACGATATATGTCCTGAAGAAGAGAGACTATTCTAATCTTGCATTTCACACCCTCGAAACGTACTATTCTATGTGAATCGTTTATTCTTCCGAGCTTGACAGCAACGAATATAAAAAGGAGATACACGACGCGTCATACCAACGAATCGCTTCTTCTGGCACGAAGCCCTCATCGTCTCGTCGTACCTCGAACTGGCACTGGTTGATAAGACAACGCTCTTCTGGCCAAGGTACCATGGCTGCATCAGAGAAAGAAAGATGGAAAGTACATCTGGATTCAGAGACGAAGTGAACGGGGGGCGGCCCGGGCGATCCTCGAAAAACCGCCGGGAAGATATGCGTACAGGCTTGCGCCTTGCGATAGAATTGATGCCCACGATTGGGATTCTAGAGTTAAGATTCTCGAGGTTGCGTGTGGAGAAGGACAGATAGATCTTCCTGATTATGTATCAGATCGCTTTTCTCGAACTTTTGGGTTCATGTTCACGCGGATTGGGTCGTCCGTATTTCCTAAATCACACCCAAGTTTGAAATTTATCCAATCCTTTTTTTCGCTCGCTCCCTTGAACCATGCCAACTGCATAGTACCACACTGGCGATGGGGTCACCTACATTGTGCTATAATCACGACGCCAGCATGGGGGGCGCCAAATGCGAGTATGAGACGACATGCGCCTGGACTTCTGGGATATGAGGAGGGGATGGCTGTAGCTGAGTCATGTTCTGCACAGTTGGGATACTTAATAGGTATGTGGCTGCATCTTTTATTACTTGTATGAGAACAAGGAAAACATTCTACTGTGCCACACCGTTATTTTTGTAGTTAGGGACGATACCTCGTGTTTGATAGGAGCTTGGTTTGATCTAAGTTGGATGGAACCCTGAGAACTTCCGAATCACGGACCAGCCCGAGGGCTTGTGAGTATGAAGGCATTGAACATAGGATTAGATTTGTCATTGATTACGAGCCCGAGACAAAAAAAAAAGGGAAGTTTGAGGAATATAAGGATAGCAGATGCCAGGATGGTTGGAGACCCAAGGAAGAATGACCTGCCAGAGGCGCGCAAGAATGATAACCATGGAGGGAGAGCAACAGCAGTGACGAGTCCTCGCTATCCAGCCAATTGACTAGGCATTCAGGCCTGTCATTCCTCCCCGCCACTGAAGGAGGCAGTTATCCTCCAAGGCTGCTGAGACTGATCCCGTATATTCGATCCACCTGCTGGAACAGAGTTCGGATGTGTTCAGAGGGCGTGAGGTTTCTGGTTTGAATCTCAGATCTGGAGGCATGCCTGCCTGCCGGCCGGCCGTTTTTATCAATTCCGGTGCAAGAAATGCTGCTGGCGCGATGTTACTGCCTTTTTGTTACTTCATCGTATCGACGGGCGACGGAGCAATGCACTTGGAGAACCGGGATCGCGACAGTGGACATCTTATGACAAATCCGCCAGAAGAGCATGCAGATCAGAGCTGAAGCTCGAGTCTGACATTAGACATAACGGCAGTTAGATTGCTCGAGAAAGCGTACAGGTTATGAATACTATAGGACCTGCTTCGAAGAATCTAGGAAAGGACTGCCTATTGGGGCGCCACAGCGAGTTCTTAGCTATCAGCCAGTTCAAGGGCTCGGAGGGATAGTCCTTAGTACGTACTAAGTCTCAGGGATGAGGCTACCATCCTCCATGTTGCCTGGGCTGTACATATTTTCCCGCTCAGCCTAGTTCATCCATGAACAGCGGAATCAGCTTCCTCCTTGCCCTCGTTGCAGACTCCAATGCTACTCCCACCCTCGACAAAAGGAGCAGTTTTCGAATATGATTCGGATATGGGAATTGAACCCCGGGCGACCGCGTAAAGTCGGTCGGCCTCTCATGAAAGGCGGTAATGTTAGTCGTTACACCATATCCGATGTAGTGAATCGGCTGCTGATGATAAAGGACTGACCGTTTTTCATCCTTGGCCGTGCACCATCCTTGGCTTTGTCTCAACTTCAGGGCGTTGATGATGCATTGCGCATAGGTAATTTCTCGTACATGTCGGCAAGCCTGAGCGTTCCAGGTATCGTGTCAATGTTTCGCGGATGACCTGCTGCTATCTTTATAGGCGTTCATCGAAAATAACAGCGGATCTCCAGGTGCCGTTCACTTGACCAAGAACCCAGATGTCGTTGCAAAAGTCAAAGGATAGGGCAGGAATTGCCCCATAGAATAGATAGTGGCAGAAAGTTTTGAGCAGGGACTCCAAGGGACGGCCGGATGATGGATCCATTACTTTGAGCGAAAATGTACTTCCGCAGATAGATATTGTGTATGTCAGAATGGACCTACAATATGCTGCCCGCCAGCCTGGTTAACGATTATTGATGTTCGTGGTTGAAGCACAGCATCTTTCGTCAAAATATTCTCAACAGGCCTGATTTGGATGCTATCCAATACACCACCCGCAACCCCAGACTCGACCACTGGCATATCAAGGATAGGAGTGGTATCTGCAAGCCAGCTGATAGCAAATAGCACAGTGTGTGTATTGTTCAGAACAGATAATACACGTTTCGGATCAGGTCCGGAGGTTCAAAAACTCCACAATGGAGAAATGTTCGGATACGGCATCGAACCCCGAGCAACTGTGGATCGTCAATCGTGGCGAATAAAAGGCGGTAATGTTAGTCGTTATACCATTTCCCAGGTATTAAAATAGCCACTGATGCACCAAGACATAATGAATCAGCTGTTTTGGTTGAAAAAGTTCGGCAACTTATTTCAGTTGATGGAGAGAGATTATGTACATCAGAATGAACCTACAAGAACGTGGAGACCCCAGCGGGACTCAAGACGATGTTCGATATCAAGGGTAGTTGAAGTTCCGGGTCGGCTACCGGCACTCAACTAATGTCGGCACTTTCCACCTCGACTTCCACACTAACAGACGAAACACTGAATCTTGACGGGACTTCGTACACTCTATAATGCTACCGCCAGTAGGTACGCGTCGTTTCGTGTATCTCTTCAGTTTCTTTGCATTGATTCCAACTTGTAAAGACATTTACGACGGTGCGGTGATGCGCACCATACGCTTCACCTAGCAAGGAATGAAACAGTATAGGATGACAAATGCACCGTCGAAGAATGCAATCCTGCAGAAACTAGTCTTCTGTTCATCATGATATGTATATGATCCTGCGACGTTTGTGTTCTACTAATGAGTTTCGTCGACATAAAAAGTTGAATCGTACGATTTTCTCCTACAACACAGCTTAATATTTCGGAGATTGCCTGATTGCAATTCCCAGGTCTCGTATGCACACACAGATAGACAAAAAGAATTCGGTAATTATCCTATTCTGTATAAAGCTGCTTATCACAGGGTCGCTGATATTACGGTTTCAATCACATAACTGGAGATAAGAATCTACGAGGGCATCTAACACTGCTTCTTCAGCATCGTGGAGATCTTCAGGTTCGAATTTTGTTTCCATCTCGTAATCCTGATTGGCGAGGAGGACGAGATCATTCCAGCGGTCCTTAATCTCGTCACAGCATTGGTCTATCTCGGTCACCTCACCGGACCCACAAACAATTAACACGATCGACTTGATGTCGTTGAAACTTTCCTCATTCAATATTCTCTGGAGTTTGTGGTGAGTGCGCCCCAATATCGGGAGCTCCACTTTCAAGAAAATGAGTGATTGAGTTGTCCCTTCGCTGGCTACGGGTTTGTGCAACTTCAGATAGTGTGTGGAACGTTGAATGAGTGTAGATGGTGTTTGGATAGTGAAACTCTGCTTTACCATATTCTGGCGAGCTGCGTATCAGAGCTGCCATGTGATCATAGGACATCTTCGACATCGTCAGGTCCTCTAGTGTAAGCCTCTCTTCATGACAAAATAGAACGAGTTGCGTGTTCATGCGGATTCTCTCGTCGAAAGTGAAGTTAGAATGGGACAGCGTTGGATAAAGTCGACTAAGAGAAAGGGATTGGCATCAGGAAAGTCATGAACGAATACGGACTTGATGGTGTCTCCATGTTGATAGGCCTTTTGGACATCGGCAAATGAACTGATGAGGACAACCCTGATTGATGGTCGGAAAAGATCCTCAAGAGAGTCTGAGTGAGAGTCCGACTCGGAAATTGCACTATACGGTGAGTCTGGTGTGATTAGCAAGGAAAGTGGACTCCCCTTGATCGGAGAAGGTGGAGGAGGAAGAAAGGGGTGGTGGTGAGTGTGACTCAAAAGGTCTGCTCCTGAGTTGCTTCAAAATACAATGGGGGCAATTCGAGAGGGAAGTCGGGCAAGACGACATGACGATCATGCGCTTGGGCGTCCGAGACATGAGAAGGGGATGGCTGTAGCTGATTCATGATCTGCACAGTTGGGAGACCTAGTATGTATGTGGCTGCATCTTTTTTTATACTTGGAGTATGAGAACAAGGAAGAGATTCCATGGTGCGACACCGTTATTTTCGTAGTTAAGGGTGATGCCTCGTGTTTGATAGGTGCTTGGTTTCGTGTAAGTGCGATGAAAACGTGAGAACTTCCGAATCACGGACCAACGGGCTCGTGAGTAAGAAGGCATTGAGTAGACAATTAGAAGATTTGTTATTATCACGAGTCCCAGAGAAACCAAATGGGTGGCTCGACAAACACAAGGATGGCAGATGTCAGGATGGCTAGAGACTGGAGGAAGAATGACCGACTAGAAGCATGGAGGAATGATAACCATGGAGAGTGACAGCAGTGGCGAGTCTTCGCTATCCAGCAAAGTGACTAGGTGTCCAGGCCTCTTGTTCCTCACCACTGAAGGAGGCAGTTATCCTCCGAGTCGATCCTCCATGGCTGCTGAGACTGATCCCGTATATTCGATCCATCTCCTGGAACAGAGTTCGGATGTGTTCAAAGAGCATGAGGTTTCTGGTTTGGATCTCAGATGTGGAGTTTTATCACCTCCGGTGCAAGAAATGCTACTGGCGCGATGTTTCTCCTGCCGGTTTTGTTTCTTCATCGTTGTCCCTCTCATCGTCTGATGGGAGGAATGCACTTGGAGAACAGAGATCGCAACAATGGATTTTTATGACGGATCTCGTGACTAGTGCGTGAGAGGAGAGCTCAGGCCGGAGCAGAAGCTCGAGTCTGACATCACAGGTACCACGGCAGCTGCTCAAGAAGACATACAAACTATGAATGCTATAAGTCATGCACCTCTTGTTCAGGCAGAGATGAATGTAGGAAAGGACTGCATATTGTGGTGCCATGGTGACTTCTGAGCCACAAGCCAGTTCATTGTGGCCGACTTGTGTTCAGAGAGATCAGAGGGATAGGGGATAGTCCGTAGTACGGACTAAGTCTCAGGAATGAGGCTACCATCCTCGATGTTACCCAGACTGTGCATACTTTTCTGCTTATCACAGCTCATCCGTGAAAAGCGGGGTCGGTTCCCTCCTTGTCCCGTTGCAGATGCTACTCCCATCATATTTCTTGAATAATAACATTCTGATACGGGCGAGCTGCCGAGAACAAACTTCCGACTACTGGTTTTGACTGGCAATGTTAGCCATTGCACCATGTCCGACCCTGCGCAAAGTTGGTGGACACTGAAATAAAGCACCTACTGCAAGACTAGGAAAAATAGAGATATCCTCCGGCTCAGCATTCGGATACGGGGAATCGAACCCCAAGCTACGCCGTAAAGTCGGTCATTGCACATGAAAGGCGGTAATGTTAGCTGTTACACCATATCCGATGGAATAACTCACAAATACATGGCTAATGTAACGATAATGAATCAACTTTTGATCGAAAAAAAATTGTTCAGCGACTGCGTAGGAGCTAAAGATCCTTGGCCTTGCATTATTCTTAGCTTTTCCCCCGCTTCAGATCGATTAAGATCGATTATTCGGTCAAATGATGGTCCGTTGATGAGGCAAACAGGGGTAAGATCCGCAGCAGATATGACGCCGATCCACGCTCTGATCATAGCCAGATTAGGCCGCCGGGTGATCCAGGCACGCACATTTTTTGTTCCTTCTTCTTTGACCACCACGTCCAAATCCAACATGACCGCTCTACCAAGTATACACGAAATTTTCCCCGGTAAATCTCTTCCGTAATCGCATATCGGATAAAAACTGATGTCAGCAGGGTATCTACGACCACTACCTCCACGGGCACCATCCCCCGAACTCTACCCGACCGTCTTTATCCTGCACACCAACTCTGAGTCGCAGCTGACCCACCAGTACACGACAGATGACAGTATAGCAGACCAAATGCGCAAGCACATCTGCAAGATCTGCCACAAGCGCTTCAACCGCCCGAGCAGTCTGCGGATACACCAGAATACCCACACAGGGGACACCCGTAAGCCACAGTTATCGCTAGCCGACATCCGTTGACGTTGTACTTTAGCTTTTCGGTGTCCATATCCTGAGTGCGGACGCTCGTTCAACGTCAACTCGAACATGCAGAGGCATTACCGGAACCACTCGGCGACGGGCGGGCCGGCGAGCGTTTATCCTAAGGAGGGCGGCGTGGTAGAGTCATCGTCATCATCACCGTCGCCACCCCGTCCTCCATCTCCGCCTTCGCAAAAAAGCACCTCTCCACCTGCACCCACCGCACCATCCTCTCACCCAGCAGCGCCTACGATCTCCCCTCTATCCTCGCATCGTCCCAAGGTCAACCGCGGCGCGTATGTCTGGTGCCCTTCGTCGTCTGATTCCGAGGAAGAGGACAATGCCGGTGGCGCGCGGGAGCAGCCGAGTTTTAAGCTGCATGCTGCAAGCTTTACTGACGTGCCGAGGGTGTGTAACGAATGGCGCGACGGGTTGGGTGGTTATGGAGATGTGGATCGGGGGACGAAGAGGCGACGCGTTGAGGAAGGACGTCGGTGGCCTTGTTGGGATCGGGTGTCTGATATCCGGACGAAATAGATGACGGTAGACTAGCAGGGTTCGTCGCCGTTTAATTGTACCATACTTAGCACTTTCGCTTCTCTTGTATCCTTCTTGACCTCATCAGCTATTCCATGATTTTATATCATTACCATGTCTTTGCTCCTTGTCAGCGATCTTAGCGGGATTCAATTGAACGTTTGGTTCAACGGCACTTTTCACGCAGCTCCGGGTTCGAGTCCCTTTCGAAGTTCAAGCTACGAGTCTACAATCATTTCATTTTATAATGCTTCGTTCTTGGTTTATTTTCTGTACCTACGTTACCGGTTATCTATAGTGTCTACTACAAATTAATCGATCGGATATGGTGTAACGGCTAACATTGCCGCCTCTCATTGTCCTGCATCCATTGATTCGCGGTAGCTCGGGGTTCGATTTCCCGTATCCAAATTGTACAGTGTCAAGTATTTTAGCTCTACTCGCTAATCATGAACAAATGCTTGTTATTTTCACACTTTCACACTTGTCTCTCCTTGCCGTACCGATTACTAACCAAAAAAAACCACTTCTTGAAACTAATCTGACCTTGTTAGATTCTGTCTTATACCTAGAATTTTCATGTTAATGGAAAGGAAGCATGCCAATAATGACTCACCACAATGAGATAGACCACTGAAAAATTGGTACAGTGATGGCTGCTGGATCACATGGACAAAAACATGATTTCTAGATAGGAGTCCTAATGTAAATGACCTCTCTACTTGTAATGAATGACAAGTCTCACAGTAATAAGAATAGACTATATATCAGCCAAATTAATTACTATACAGACTCCTCCAGATGGAGAAATGAATTATATCTATTCTGCTAGTGGTGATAAAAGAGATACAATTTATGAGGTGAATTAGTCTTTAGCACAGCTATATCACTCTTCTCTCTACTGCTACATTGATCACTCTGATAGGATATTCTGACTTTTTTATTTCCATATCAGGCCAGTGTTCTAGCTGTGATCATTCTGGAAATAGGATGCTACCTTGTGTAAACCCCATATCAATGATCTGATTTTATACACATACAGTCAACTCTATTACTGAGCTGAATATTATGTATCTTGTTATTTCCCTTAGTATCAATTCTTCAGTAGATGCATTCTCAATGCAGCTGTATTGTGGATTGACTGAACTACAATCCTTCTCCAAAATGCATGAACATCTCAGAAAAGCACTATTGCTCAAAATACAGAAGAGATGTCAAGTGGTATATATAAATGTTCATATTTACATTCAATGCTGATCATCCAGAAACTTTAGCATCACAAAAGACAAGCATACAGAGAGATTCAAAAAACAATTAGTGAGTAGAGCTAAAATATTTGGCACTGTGCAATTTGAATACAGGGAATCAAACTCCACTGCTATGAACCCCAACTAGAGAAGAATGAGAGGCAGCAATGTTAGCCATTACACCATATCCAATCATAAGAAATGCACAGATCTCCAATATTTCAATAGATAATCACTGATCTCACAGCCAATATATTTGTTTGTATTTGATTTTATTTTAAACAATTCTTCTTTTCATGTTATGATTTTTCCTACTTCCTTTCACAATTAGCCCCTATTTATGCTTAGTCAGAGTGTCAATCTCAGTGCTTAGGACCATGAGACTAGCTTAGTCAGCACAACAAGCTGGATTGATCATTGTCTTTCAATGCAACAATGACACTTGACAATATACAATCATTCTTTTGTAGATAGTAACAATGCTCAAGGACAAACAGTGTAGTGACTGGGACAGACACAATAGGTAGTATTATTTATATTGACTCAAACTTGTAGTATATAAGCAGGATAACTCTCACTGGTATAACCCCAGCTTCAAGCTAAAGTTTATCTATTCTCATTCTACTCTTGAGCTATTCCATAAAGTCTTGAAGCATTTGATCAACTAGACACAACAAGTAGACTCTGATATAAAGGTTCAAACACAAAACCACATCAGTTTATCATGTGTTTAGATCACATGTGGCTTAAGCCTAATAATTAGCTCAAAGCTTCTACTTCCCTTTCCTCACACACAATAGTGTAGAGGAAACTGAATGTCATCTATCAACTCATCATCCTCCAACTTTGACCATGAGTTCTTTAAACTCCTCACTTTTATCATCAGAACATTGTTAGGATTATTGGTGATCATCCAACTCTGTCAGAGATGCCAATCAATCACAGCATGAGTAGTCAGGCACTACCAAGAATTTCAACAGATCTATTGTATCCTTTGAAATGTCACCTCTGACCTCTCTCTCCACAACATCCCAGTCTCTCCCAGAACCTCTTTTCAGCCTGTGGCTGAAATCACACCCAAAGCTGGACATAGCAGCCCACATCTAAGAGGCACTCAGAAAGAAATGAGACATCAGTACTCCCCTTGACCCCAGCAATCCAGAAGCAGAAACAGCAACTCTCATCTGACAGAGTTCAAGAACCCATGGATCCTACTGCTGGTCTCCAACCATGAGGATGAGAACCTCTCCAATTACTTCTTTGATAATGCACCCTCTGACACTTCTGCCTTCTCCAGAGCATGGCATTGGAAACTGTGCTTGAGACTCTATTGATGCCACTAGAGTAGCTACAGAACCCCAATCTATTTCACCCATGCACTCCAGACACAGCACTCTCTATGAGACCCCAGAGTCCAGTCCCACCCCAACTCAGTACAGTGACCCCTATCTCAGGTCTGAAGGCCCAGATGAGTATTAAGATTCCACCATCACTGATCAGCTCAGTCAGGACACCAGAGATTTCACCACAGAGGAGATTGAGGCAGTCAGAAGAGAGATCCTCCAGGATCTTGACTGGGCAGAAGCTGAACAGGCCCAATGAGAGGCTGCCCACTATGATGAGTTATATGACTAGCAATTTAGACAGTGACAACAAGAGTTACAGGCCACCAAGTGGAGCTTGATAAGCCTCAGTGCATATGGCCTCCACACAGAATTGACCCGCTTCTCATTCAGGAAGCCTAGTACCCCTGCCAGATCAGAAACAGACCTTTGAGCAGGGTCTGCTGAAGCAGTCACTGCTGACAAAGCCTGAAGGTGAAACAACAATTTCCCTCCTCAAAGTATTAGCATTGCTGACACCAACACCATCCTCTCACACACTGACTCCATACTCAATGCCTACAGGCTATGAGTTCTCCTCAACACCCACATCTCTGATTGGAGACTCCAAAGGTTCTTGAGAGAGAGAGTTGCAGCACTCTTTCTCAATCCTTGCTTCTATTGAAACTTCTGAATCTATAGCCAAGACCTGGAGGAGGTGAGAGTGTGAGGAGACCATAGAGATGACCTCAGTATCAGGGCTGCCATCCTCCAGCCTCCTCCTCCAGCTAATGTCCCTGGATCCAGCACTAGCCATGTTGACAACCAGTTCACTGGTGACCATCAAGCTCTCAGAGCCTCCAACCTACAACCTGCTCAATGACTCTCATCAAGGACAGCAGGGATGAGGGGGATGTGAATGAGGATCCAGAGAGGATTTGGGATGTCCCCCTTAAATAGGGGCAATGGAAATGTGAGGAGAAAGAAACAGATGAAGAAGCACCAGCTGAAGAAATACAACAGGCAAGAGAGGAGAAATGCAAAAGGTTATACAGGGAGGGAGTATCCTTCTTATGTAAGGATGCTCAGTGGTTAGCCTTGGACATAGGGTGGAAATATATTCATGCAGACAGTGATGAACAACAGGATATTTTACAATATTCTGCCACTAAATATGCTATTGACATTTACAATCAAGGACACTCTGAGGACTGTCTCAGCAAACTGCCACCATACAAGTCTAAATATGACATCAAGCCAATGCTGTGGATGGCATCCACAGCACTAAGACAAGCTGAATACACAGCACTGTCAATCTGAACCAATATCAGCTGATATTCATACTCCATCCTCTCAGTCCAAACATTAGCAACTTGGCTCTCCTGAATCCAACCATGGCTGACTACCCAACCCATGGGATATCACAACCTCTGGACTGACAAAGGTAGCCATCTCTTTGGCAGACAACCTCTGTCTGATGAGGCCAAAGGAAGCAGAGGAGGAAAGGAAACAATCAGAGATGTTCCTGAGGCAGTGAAACTTGGGTTTACAATTTGAAATGGCATCATTGTACAGAAGGAAGCTGCTCTCCAAGGAAGTCCTGTGGCCAGTGATAGATTCCTTCACTCATTCTCCAGCCTGCCAACTGAATGGCAGTGCCCACCTTTCAACCAGTGGTCTAATCTTATAGGTGTGCTGCCAGAAAATGCTGTGGTTCTTCAATGCAAATTCAACCTGCTTCACAAGCCACACCTCTTTAAAGGAGCATCAAATGATATAGACTGCTTCCTTATCAACTTTAAACAGTATTTTGAGATATACATTGCCTACCTAGAGGCTGACATGAACAAGATCACATTTGTGGCCTCATACCTAAAAGACAAGGTGAAGACCTGGTGGATCTTGATTTCTCCAAATTTCTATTACACCACATGCCAACACCACAGATTCTCTTCTTAGACTGTCTTTAAGCAGATGCTTAATAACAAATTCATTGATCCAGCCATGCAAGAAGTACATAAGGTGAAGATCAAGGAGTTCAAGATAGGCAACAAGGTGGCAACAGAATACTTCATTGAACTGGAATGGCCCACTAAACTCACCAGAATCCAGGATGATATCACTGATGATGAAAGAATGGTCAAGGCCCTCAAGCAAGGAGCCCTGTCATCTTACATCAAAATCATCTCCAACATTGGCAAGTTCATCCCAAAGAGATATGATGAGTGGAAGGAAAGAATCATTGAAATGTATAAGGAGAGGCAGAGACAAAAGGCAGAGCAGTCTAACCTGCAGGAGTACCAAAAGCTGAACCAACCCTAGACTTCAAATCAGAAGGCTGGCAGCCAAGCAAGTACTTCCAAACCAGGAGCTTCATTGACAACTGGCACTCTGTCATATGGGACTCAGAAAATAAGAATGGGCACAACTTACACCAGGGCTGAGAAGCCCATGAACATGGACCAGCTCAAGAAGGAGGGAAAATGTTTCAACTGTGGCCAAAAGGGCCACATGTTGAGAGATTGCCCAAAGAAGAAGAGAACCTGCAAAGACATCCAGGTGCAAATTGCTGAACTACAGAAAAAAAAAGAAGAGTTCAGCAAGGACATGAAGGTGGAGGAGGTAAAAGACAGGGCCAATCAGTGGGCAATTCCACTGAGTCAGCCAGAGGACTTGGCAGAGTAATCATGACAGCCACAGGATGGACTGATAGTTCTTCTGTAGGTACACATATGTCTAAATTATGCATGCATTCAAATATACCTGCATCAGCTTCCACACATCCTGCCAGAGAATTGCCAAACACTAAAACTCAAAAGCCTGTATGCTGAACAGAGGGAGA